TTGGTGATGGTCAAGACAGGTGCTGGGGAAAGGACAGTAATGAGATCTAACCCCTGCCCTCAAGAGGATTACAGCCTGATCCAGTGCCTGGCTGTATTCCATTCCCACCCACCTACCTGTACTATCTGTGTGTACTCTTAATCTTAAATTTTCACATTCCCGGTGGTTTACAGCCCTCTGGTTGCAGGTGAGTCCACACAGCTGGTGCAGGGATGCTCGTTCAGCACCAGCGCATTCCCTGGATCTGGAGAGAGGGGCAGAGATAAGAAAAGCCTGTACTGGCTGCCAACCGTAGGAGCAGTCAAACAGGACCCCATTGTTCAGTGCCAACCTCTGCTTTATGGACTGACAGAGGGCAGAAGCTGGGTCCTTCCCATTGGACCTGGAAGATGTTTGCATTAGCATATCCATTAAACAGGGATCCACTGAGTAACTCCTGAGCACTGGGCTCTGCTAGTAATTGGGGTTCCACGGGTGAACAAAATGAGCTGCAGGTGACCCTCCCCTCAGAGAGCAACAACCCTGAGGGGGACACAGGCAAGCAAACAAGCCTTTAGAGCATAACAGGTAAGATTCACAATGGAGACAGTACAGGAAACTCTGGGCAGTAGTGTGCTAGTAAATGTTTAACAACCAGCTCTCCAGCAAAATACGTATGTATATCTATATGCTCATGGATTTTACTAAAGGATCAGTTCTAGGGGATAGAGTGGGGAAAGGGGTTTGCTCTCCCAGAACAGCCTATCTCATTCCTTTCCTTCTATTTACCTCTGGTGCTGAGAGTCAGGGTGCTGGTGGCAACAGTGGTGACAGTGGCAGCTGAAATGACAAGTCCAGCATGAATCCCAAATACAATTATTTATTTAAGTTACTTCTAACTGGTGACTCTGGGGTTGGAAAGTCTTGCCTCCTTCTTAGGTGTGCAGATGATACATATACAGAAAGCTACATAAGCGCAATTGGTGTGGATTTCAAAAGAAGAACTATAGAGTTAGACAGGAAAACAATCAAGCTTCAAATATGGGACACAGCAGGCCAGAAAGAGTTCCAACAGTCACCTCCAGTTATCACAGAGGAGCCATGGCATCATAGTTGTGTATGATGTGACAGATCAGGAGTCCTTCAATAACGTTAAACAGTGGCTGCAGGAAATAGAAAATGAAATGAAAACGTCAATAAAAACATCAACATATTGTTGGTAGGGAACAAATGTGATCTAACCACAAGGAAAGTAATAGACTACACAACAGCAAAGGAATTTTCTGATTCTCATGGAATTCCATTTTGGGAACCAGCGCTAAGGATGCAATGAATGTAGAACAGTCTTTCATGATGATGGCAGCTGAGACTAAAATGTGAACGGGTCCTGCAGCAACAGCGGATGGTGCTGAGAATCCAATGTGAAAATTCAGAGCACTAGGGTTAAGCAGTCAGGTGAAGGTTGCTGCTAAAATTTGTCTTTGTCATTTTCTCACAGCAATAAATTTGCAATCTGAACCCAAGTGAAAAAACAAAATTGTCTAAATTATTTTTTATGTAGTTGCACTACAACAGATTCTTACCGTCTCCACAAAGGTCAGAAATTGTAAATGGTCAATAATGGCCCTTTTTTAATTCCCTTGACTCAAGACAGCTAACTTCATTCCCAGAACTGTTTTAAATTTTTGTGTGCTTGTTTATAAAATTATGTATAGGCCGGGCGCAGTGGTTCACGCCTGTAATCCAAGCACTTTGGAGGCCACGGTGGGCGGATCACTTGAGGTCAGGAGTTCAAGACCAGCCTGACCAACATGGGGAAACCCTGTCTTTATATATTTTATTTAAAAAATAAATAAATAAAAATTAAAAAATAAAATAAAATTATGTGTAATCCCAGACTGTTTCCCATGGTTGGTTAGAATACACTGGCCAGGCGCGATGGCTCATGCCTAAAACACCAGCACATTGAGAGACTCAGGTGGGTGGATCACTTGAGGTCAGGAGTTCAAGACCAGCCTGACCAACATGGGGAAACCCTGTCTTTATATATTTTATTTAAAAAATAAATAAATAAAAATTAAAAAATAAAATAAAATTATGTGTAATCCCAGACTGTTTCCCATGGTTGGTTAGAATACACTGGCCAGGCGCGATGGCTCATGCCTAAAACACCAGCACATTGAGAGACTCAGGTGGGTGGATCACTTGAGGTCAGGAGTTCAAGACCAGCCTGACCAACATGGGGAAACCCTGTCTTTATATATTTTATTTAAAAAATAAATAAATAAAAATTAAAAAATAAAATAAAATTATGTGTAATCCCAGACTGTTTCCCATGGTTGGTTAGAATACACTGGCCAGGCGCGATGGCTCATGCCTAAAACACCAGCACATTGAGAGACTCAGGTGGGTGGATCACTTGAGGTCAGGAGTTCAAGACCAGCCTGACCAACATGGGGAAACCCTGTCTTTATATATTTTATTTAAAAAATAAATAAATAAAAATTAAAAAATAAAATAAAATTATGTGTAATCCCAGACTGTTTCCCATGGTTGGTTAGAATACACTGGCCAGGCGCGATGGCTCATGCCTAAAACACCAGCACATTGAGAGACTCAGGTGGGTGGATCACTTGAGGTCAGGAGTTCAAGACCAGCCTGACCAACATGGGGAAACCCTGTCTTTATATATTTTATTTAAAAAATAAATAAATAAAAATTAAAAAATAAAATAAAATTATGTGTAATCCCAGACTGTTTCCCATGGTTGGTTAGAATACACTGGCCAGGCGCGATGGCTCATGCCTAAAACACCAGCACATTGAGAGACTCAGGTGGGTGGATCACTTGAGGTCAGGAGTTCAAGACCAGCCTGACCAACATGGGGAAACCCTGTCTTTATATATTTTATTTAAAAAATAAATAAATAAAAATTAAAAAATAAAATAAAATTATGTGTAATCCCAGACTGTTTCCCATGGTTGGTTAGAATACACTGGCCAGGCGCGATGGCTCATGCCTAAAACACCAGCACATTGAGAGACTCAGGTGGGTGGATCACTTGAGGTCAGGAGTTCAAGACCAGCCTGACCAACATGGGGAAACCCTGTCTTTATATATTTTATTTAAAAAATAAATAAATAAAAATTAAAAAATAAAATAAAATTATGTGTAATCCCAGACTGTTTCCCATGGTTGGTTAGAATACACTGGCCAGGCGCGATGGCTCATGCCTAAAACACCAGCACATTGAGAGACTCAGGTGGGTGGATCACTTGAGGTCAGGAGTTCAAGACCAGCCTGACCAACATGGGGAAACCCTGTCTTTATATATTTTATTTAAAAAATAAATAAATAAAAATTAAAAAATAAAATAAAATTATGTGTAATCCCAGACTGTTTCCCATGGTTGGTTAGAATACACTGGCCAGGCGCGATGGCTCATGCCTAAAACACCAGCACATTGAGAGACTCAGGTGGGTGGATCACTTGAGGTCAGGAGTTCAAGACCAGCCTGACCAACATGGGGAAACCCTGTCTTTATATATTTTATTTAAAAAATAAATAAATAAAAATTAAAAAATAAAATAAAATTATGTGTAATCCCAGACTGTTTCCCATGGTTGGTTAGAATACACTGGCCAGGCGCGATGGCTCATGCCTAAAACACCAGCACATTGAGAGACTCAGGTGGGTGGATCACTTGAGGTCAGGAGTTCAAGACCAGCCTGACCAACATGGGGAAACCCTGTCTTTATATATTTTATTTAAAAAATAAATAAATAAAAATTAAAAAATAAAATAAAATTATGTGTAATCCCAGACTGTTTCCCATGGTTGGTTAGAATACACTGGCCAGGCGCGATGGCTCATGCCTAAAACACCAGCACATTGAGAGACTCAGGTGGGTGGATCACTTGAGGTCAGGAGTTCAAGACCAGCCTGACCAACATGGGGAAACCCTGTCTTTATATATTTTATTTAAAAAATAAATAAATAAAAATTAAAAAATAAAATAAAATTATGTGTAATCCCAGACTGTTTCCCATGGTTGGTTAGAATACACTGGCCAGGCGCGATGGCTCATGCCTAAAACACCAGCACATTGAGAGACTCAGGTGGGTGGATCACTTGAGGTCAGGAGTTCAAGACCAGCCTGACCAACATGGGGAAACCCTGTCTTTATATATTTTATTTAAAAAATAAATAAATAAAAATTAAAAAATAAAATAAAATTATGTGTAATCCCAGACTGTTTCCCATGGTTGGTTAGAATACACTGGCCAGGCGCGATGGCTCATGCCTAAAACACCAGCACATTGAGAGACTCAGGTGGGTGGATCACTTGAGGTCAGGAGTTCAAGACCAGCCTGACCAACATGGGGAAACCCTGTCTTTATATATTTTATTTAAAAAATAAATAAATAAAAATTAAAAAATAAAATAAAATTATGTGTAATCCCAGACTGTTTCCCATGGTTGGTTAGAATACACTGGCCAGGCGCGATGGCTCATGCCTAAAACACCAGCACATTGAGAGACTCAGGTGGGTGGATCACTTGAGGTCAGGAGTTCAAGACCAGCCTGACCAACATGGGGAAACCCTGTCTTTATATATTTTATTTAAAAAATAAATAAATAAAAATTAAAAAATAAAATAAAATTATGTGTAATCCCAGACTGTTTCCCATGGTTGGTTAGAATACACTGGCCAGGCGCGATGGCTCATGCCTAAAACACCAGCACATTGAGAGACTCAGGTGGGTGGATCACTTGAGGTCAGGAGTTCAAGACCAGCCTGACCAACATGGGGAAACCCTGTCTTTATATATTTTATTTAAAAAATAAATAAATAAAAATTAAAAAATAAAATAAAATTATGTGTAATCCCAGACTGTTTCCCATGGTTGGTTAGAATACACTGGCCAGGCGCGATGGCTCATGCCTAAAACACCAGCACATTGAGAGACTCAGGTGGGTGGATCACTTGAGGTCAGGAGTTCAAGACCAGCCTGACCAACATGGGGAAACCCTGTCTTTATATATTTTATTTAAAAAATAAATAAATAAAAATTAAAAAATAAAATAAAATTATGTGTAATCCCAGACTGTTTCCCATGGTTGGTTAGAATACACTGGCCAGGCGCGATGGCTCATGCCTAAAACACCAGCACATTGAGAGACTCAGGTGGGTGGATCACTTGAGGTCAGGAGTTCAAGACCAGCCTGACCAACATGGGGAAACCCTGTCTTTATATATTTTATTTAAAAAATAAATAAATAAAAATTAAAAAATAAAATAAAATTATGTGTAATCCCAGACTGTTTCCCATGGTTGGTTAGAATACACTGGCCAGGCGCGATGGCTCATGCCTAAAACACCAGCACATTGAGAGACTCAGGTGGGTGGATCACTTGAGGTCAGGAGTTCAAGACCAGCCTGACCAACATGGGGAAACCCTGTCTTTATATATTTTATTTAAAAAATAAATAAATAAAAATTAAAAAATAAAATAAAATTATGTGTAATCCCAGACTGTTTCCCATGGTTGGTTAGAATACACTGGCCAGGCGCGATGGCTCATGCCTAAAACACCAGCACATTGAGAGACTCAGGTGGGTGGATCACTTGAGGTCAGGAGTTCAAGACCAGCCTGACCAACATGGGGAAACCCTGTCTTTATATATTTTATTTAAAAAATAAATAAATAAAAATTAAAAAATAAAATAAAATTATGTGTAATCCCAGACTGTTTCCCATGGTTGGTTAGAATACACTGGCCAGGCGCGATGGCTCATGCCTAAAACACCAGCACATTGAGAGACTCAGGTGGGTGGATCACTTGAGGTCAGGAGTTCAAGACCAGCCTGACCAACATGGGGAAACCCTGTCTTTATATATTTTATTTAAAAAATAAATAAATAAAAATTAAAAAATAAAATAAAATTATGTGTAATCCCAGACTGTTTCCCATGGTTGGTTAGAATACACTGGCCAGGCGCGATGGCTCATGCCTAAAACACCAGCACATTGAGAGACTCAGGTGGGTGGATCACTTGAGGTCAGGAGTTCAAGACCAGCCTGACCAACATGGGGAAACCCTGTCTTTATATATTTTATTTAAAAAATAAATAAATAAAAATTAAAAAATAAAATAAAATTATGTGTAATCCCAGACTGTTTCCCATGGTTGGTTAGAATACACTGGCCAGGCGCGATGGCTCATGCCTAAAACACCAGCACATTGAGAGACTCAGGTGGGTGGATCACTTGAGGTCAGGAGTTCAAGACCAGCCTGACCAACATGGGGAAACCCTGTCTTTATATATTTTATTTAAAAAATAAATAAATAAAAATTAAAAAATAAAATAAAATTATGTGTAATCCCAGACTGTTTCCCATGGTTGGTTAGAATACACTGGCCAGGCGCGATGGCTCATGCCTAAAACACCAGCACATTGAGAGACTCAG